TCCATTTTAATCTATTGAGGGATTCTTCGATCCCAGTTTTTCTAAATTTAATAATTAATTTGCCTTAAGATAGTCATCTTTTAGTAATGGGTTTCATATATTCTCTCTTAATTTAACTATTGGTATCTGCTCGTCAGAAAATATTCTTTTTATGCTGTTTTGTATATTATTCTCTACAATGGGGCTAATATTTTTATTATTTATATTTTGCTGTGCAATTTATTTCTTTTGAAATAATTTCTCTATTTCGATATTCGCAGCTCTGCTACTTGGTTTTTTACATTTGGCATAGCCAACTATTTTAATTTTTTGCTTTCTTTTTGTTTGATATCTTTCTCTACCAGACCTGGTTTTTGTCGTTTCTCATATTTCCTTAATCTATCTGGATAATAATTTTAGTACAATGGGAATCCCGCTTTAACAGACCACGAGGGCCGCAATGCTTACTACTATGCCTATTGCTCGAGGAAGTTCGAGTGCGCAGATTTTTTGCTTCGCAACGGTTGCCCAAAGCAGGTTGTTCCTCCCTGCTTACCCACTGTTTCAGCCCAACAGACCCAATTCCATCTACAACAACAGCTACAACAGCAGGCAGCCGCAGCAGCTGTTGCAGCAGCAGCTGCTTTCCATAACCAAACACAACACGCCTTCTCTTCTTCATCTTCCTCCTCCTCAGCTACCGCTGGGCCTGCACTTCCTCCTCCCCGCTCCATTCAATCTGGCAAAAATGGACCTCCACCACCACCAGGAACCACAGCTACCGCCCGTTCTAGTAGCAGTGGCATTGGTTCTCCTCTGATTGGTAACTCTATGATACTTTCTTCGGCTTCTTCAAGGGCTGCTACAGTATCTTCTACTCCTTCAGATCCGAGTACCAATACACTTTCTGGAGCTCTCGGTAGAACTGGGTCACATCCATCAAGCAATTCTGGGAGTGGGACTGGGAATAGTGTAACCGCTGGCTCAATCCGCTATCCTCACTCCTCTTTTCAGCCAATGCCCCAACCCGTGGCTCCGACTTCTGTACTCGCTTCTTCTTCATCTAGACAACCTACTTCCACCCAACCTACAATTACAACTGTTCCATCCGTTGTTTCTTCCTCAGCAGCTATCCTCAGCGGCTCTAATTCTGTCTCTCCAACTGGAGCATATCCCACCAGTATGTCTAAAGGTTCCTTTCTCTTTCCTAGCATCATTTAAACTCTAATGTATTCATTGAATATATGAGGACCAAGATGTTGTGGCCTCTGGTGTGGTCGCAGTCTCCTTTCGATTGATAGAAGTGGGTTGACCTCGTCGCAACTTGGTCTTGTTCTCAGGGCGACCATGTAGAACGCACCTAGTCCGAAGTCGTCTGCCATAGTAGTTGTCATGAGTCCCAGCATCTGACAGTGGACCTGATACATTCTCAAACGTTTCGCCGGCAACGTAGTCGGCATCATCAATGAGCCTTGCCATTCTCCACACCAAGATACGAACTCGTCAAAGAGACAAGTGAAGTCAATGCCTCGACAA